GGCAAGGAAGCATGGCAGTACAGAGCGACTCCTCCACCCTTCCTAGTCCTGTGTCGTGTGAAGGGAGAGTGATATCCATTTAAGTTGTACATAGAACTAGGAATGTTATCGTCAAGTTTGGTCTCTGTTAAAGCGCAAACGGTTATGTCATTTAAGCTAAGAAACTGGGACAACTCATCCTTTCTACCTGCGGCGGTTATACTATTTATGTTGATGTGGGATATATTTACTTGTTTTTCTTTAAGGGGACCAGGATTTGGTTCTATGCCACCGATAAGCAGCAAAGTTTTTATGTTTTGCTTTGCGTTTAGACGTGACCATTGCTTGTGTGAAATGCTGATGACAAGGTACGAACTTGAATGAGGATGATGTGTTTTCAGTGGTTTGCAGGTTGATTTACAATTTTGTACGGGGATTAGGATGTTGAGGATGAGTGTACGTTTACCAGCGACCAGGGATGCCGGGTTGAAGCCGAGGGGTAGTTCAGTTGCTGTCGTCCGTAGTGGCGGGGGCAGTCGCTCGATTTTGCCGGGATCGGACGATACTGAGAGATGAAAAGTGAAAGAGATGCTCTCCCGTGAGCCGGCGACCACTGCAACACAAAACAAGTCGGTAAACTATCAAGCGGCGACGGCGGACGACACGCAAACAAGTAATAAATGAACAGAAGAGATAAGCGCATACACACATCAACGAAACAAAATTTAACTAAAAATAATACGAGTGTAAACGCAAGACTAGATAAATTAGCGCACAGTTGACATTCAAATCTGGGCTTGGGTGGCATTCAGTTTCCATATTGAAGAACGGAATAATAAAACAAACAAGTACAAAACACGTTGCCAAACCGATGACTCTCCCGGTCATCGTTTCCACGTGCCCATGGAAACCGGGCTAATAAGACAGAACAGCTAGGGTGACTTGGGGTGACTGATCTAGCTCTGCACCAGCCAACAATAACCAGCTGAACTTCATCCACAGCAGCCTGCTACAACGATGCATACATTTATTGCTGAAGAATTAACAAACCTGTGATTGTAATCAAAGTAAGATCCCCTGGCCAATTACAGCTTTCAGCTGCCAGTGCGCAGCAGTCAGCAAAGCGGTTCAACATATAGTTTGGCATGCATCACTCCGGCCCCCGCCGAAGTTAGTTGGTAGCATTGCTGCTCCACGGCGTACATTTCCTACCAGCCCATAGGGTTTACATGTTAAATGGCCTGTTTTCGGCGAGCGATATCTCGTTCAACCTTTGAAGGAATCAATGGTTCTTAGTCTGAAATCATAGATCGATGAATTTTCTTTCGACAATTCCCCTACCATTTTTCACGAAACCGAGCCGATCTTCTACGGCGTACAGGGTAAAGATTTCTCTGCACACCAGCACCCGCGATCCGCCTCTCCGATCGTCGGCGCGCGGTCCTCGATAGCGCAGTCGGTAGCGTATCGGGCTACGGATCCGAGGGTCGTGAGTTCGAATCCTGGGAGCGCCGCGTGATTTCGGCTAGAATTGAATGATGTAGATTCTTGCATGTTTGCATAATCAATTATTAATAGCTAATTGAATGTATCTGCCCATTAATCGGCCCTTAAAGGGACACTCCCACCTTAAAGGGAGATAATGAGCTTTCTTTTTTCTTAAATAAAAATTACTTGACATCTATACTATTTCTACTGTAGTTTCTATAAAATATGAAAATTTCCTAGCACATTTTCGTATGTGAAAAAGGTTTTTATTTTTGCAAAAAAGAAGCAGTACTTGCAGTACTTGTAACACCCACCGAAATGCGTTGTCCTTCTCTATAAAAAAGTCGCAGTATATGGCGCTTTTGTTTCAAACAGCGACGCTTGGGTTTTTGTTTATGTTATCGCCTTGTCGTTGCTTGGTTGTAAGGATTCTAATTTGAATTAGAGTTAATTCGGTTTAGAATTAATTAGATTCTAATTCGGGGGTACATAGTGCCTACTCTTCTTTGTTTCCAACATTATTTTGCGCCACAAATGAACGGCATGCGCCAGAAACGCAGCCAAATCTTGCGATTGCGACTACGAAATTCATTATTTTGGCCTCAGAGCCTGAAGCGAAAAATACAAGCATATTTATTTCAAAAAGACTTCAGGTTTGTCGAACGGTGTTATGAGAATTTTGATAACAGTACTGCATAAGTTTTTCAGTGATGCCGCAAAAGTGTTGTATCTATCTTCTTTTATTGTGCAGTCGGCGGGACCGATTCAAAATTGAGTCGTTGCTACTAAAATAGCAGCATATGGCGACAGATGATGAACAGGAAAAATAGTTGCGTAAATTTAGACATAAACCACCCCCAAACCATGAATATCTTTTGAAGGCACTATAGACGACCATTAACTAACTAGATGTGATGAAGATCAAATGTAATGAATACGCTCATTTTACAAAATTACATGCAAGTACCAAAAAGTGATGTAAGTACTTATTCAACGGTCATTTTCAGCGCTCCCCGCTAACGTGACTTCAAGTTGAGATATTTGCGGCAAGGTACCGAATTGAGCAAAATGGTTTTAATTTACATTATAACTTGTTGTGTTTTGTCAGAAAATGGTCCTAACTCAGATTTTGTGGAAAAAGGTCATAATCTCCCTTTAAAGGGACCCTCCCACCTTCAAAAAAGTTAATGAATTGGCATGAAAGTGATGTCGCTTGGTTCAGAAAGAGCGAAAACGAATATCTACCAAATTTCACCGAAAAATATTCACTGGTTTTCAAAATATTAGGCTTTTACTTTTGTTTACTTTTTGGGATCTCCCCTGTTACTAGCGACTTTATTTGGAAGCAATAATTTGGCAGCCTTAAAGTGCGGCAGACGTTGCGCGCAAAGCAGCGTATACCACCACGTGTTAACGATGGTTTTAGTCTAAGATTTAAAAATCGTTAGATCTCCGCTGACGTCACAAATTCTAAGGGGGCATTCCAATGCATTAGCCCCTTATAATCCGAAAACGGCAAGTTTGAAATTCCATATATTCGAATTAAAGCATTTTTCGATGTTGTGAGTGCCCAAACCGGTATTTGCAGGCCATGGCCACCAATTTGGCTATCTCAACTCAAAACTAATGTTAAAGGAGTGTCTCCTTTAACATTAGTTTTGAGTTGAGATAGCCAAATTGGTGGCCATGGCCTGCAAATACATGGTGTGTCAAAAGTGGAAATAGCCTGTGCGCCGTCTGGCAACCCGGCAGCCCGCCGCCATAGGGAAATTCATGCTTTTTGTCGCTTTTTCGCTCCCTATGAGTCACTTGATCTAATTAGAGCTTAACCCGCGCCCTGCTGGGGGGGGGTGTTTGAACACCCCCCTTGTGGTTTTTCGCGAATATCTCAAAAACGGCGGCGCGGAGCGCCGCCGTTTTTGGTACACCTTATCATACATCAATTCTACACATGTTGTGAAAATTTCAGACCAAGGTCATTCAAGGTCAGGTCACCAGGTCACTTGAAGTGACCTCACCTCATAAAAAGTTTCAATGTCTGTCATAGCTACATCGAGTGACCGATCGCTTTGAAACTTTCAGCGATTGCTAAGAGCAATAGCATGTACAAAATGTATATCTCAGAATTTTGATATCGATGACCTAAGGTCAGGTCAATTTTGCGACCTCCCCATTATAAGTCAATGGGAGAAAATTGAAATGCGCCTCCTTTGGACGAAAGACATTATAAACACTCCCAAACACTGAATTACAAGTGGTTTAGACACACTGAACATGAAAATGGTGTCCGTGACCCCTGTTTATGCCCTGAGGTCATCTTAGGTCACGAATGGTATCTAACAGTTTTTCGCAAATAACTTTTGATAGAGGCATGCTAGAGCGATGAAAACGCCTTAGATGTGTTCATCTCGACGATACGGATCGACTGATATGCAACATGACCCTTTCCGGTCAGGTCATGACCTTGACCTGAGGTCAAATTTTCAAGTTGACCTTTCAAGGTCAAGTTATAGTTCATTCGATGCGTCTTGACGAGAGGAACACGATGCCGGTAAAAGTGAGCTCGTACAAGGCTTGGGTCAAAAGTTATTGCAGAAAAACTGTTTCCGAAAAAATCGGCTATTTTTGCAGTTTTTGCCCCCTGCAGGCAAAACCGTTGACGTTAGGTCAAATCTGAGAGAATTACTCAGAATGGGCGTTAATAGGGCTATCGAATGCGCTTTTCCGCGGCGCTGTAGCTCTATTGGTTCCCGAGTTATGCGTTGGCTTCTTGGAAATTGTCGACATTCGACCTGGAAATCGGCGAAATTTTGCCTTCAATGACCTCTGGTGACCTGACCTTTGACCTGACCAAAAAATTGACCGAAGTGATTTCCTCATTATTTTTGACGCTCTTTCGAACGCCGCCTTCCGCGTATCGCTACGTGGCCCAGGAGCCGAGTTAGAAGGGGGGGTGTTCAAACACCCCCCCCCCCCAGCAGGGCGTGGAAATCCAGGACCCCCAGCTGGGCGCGGGTTAACTAGGAACGAGGCGGGTCACTTGGACGCATTCGGGAGCCGAATACGGTGTTTTGGAGCCAATACCTGGGAAACCCTACCCGCCCAATGCGAGTTTTTAAGAGTCTGCATGCCCAAATTCAGGTGGGTGAAATCACGTGACCAAAAAATGGCGGTGGGGTTCAACGATTTTTTCTTCTTCTAAAACATTATGTAAATCCTATGGACTTTTGTCAGGGTATTGCAAGGTGCCAAAAATCTTCATTTTACTGCCGGGGACATCTAATTTTCTTCCCTATCTCATATGAGGATGAACAGAACTACGTATTCATTCCATAAAAACAAAAATAATTTTTGATGCACCACTCGAACGACTTACCTAGAAACTGGCCCCCAAACTATCTAACTAGGTCCAGTTTGTTCTAAAAATGCTAATAAAATTTCGTCCCATTGCTTTAACACAGGGCCGTCAGCTGATTATGCCCCAGCCACTAGTCATGACGTCACACTTCGGTTGCGTATTCCAAGGGCAAGAGGGAGCCTCAGTTTCTGTTGTTACAAATACTGCGCAAACAATACATTTATTCGATATATTCGCAAAACCGCTTACGGCTGCTTTTTCACGCTGAGTGACGTTAGCGCATCACGTTAAAGCCAATCAGCGCATTTCGTACCTTTATGCAAGTGCACTTTGAACAGCTTATCAGGAATGTGCATTGAGTCGCCCTTTTGGCCTTTTTCCCGCTTTTTCATCGAGTTTGAGTGCTGTTGGGGCGAATAATCTCGGAGATGAGTCAGTCTCACATCTAAGGAGCAAATATGCCTTTTTGTTTTGTGCCTCAATGCAGTCATTCCAGCGCCAGGTCCCAGTCAAAGTGCTCCTTCTTCCGATTGCCCCGGGACGAGGGGGAGTTGAAGAAATGGACTACACTGATGAGGTTCGTCATGCGACATTGTGATATCTCCTTTTGTTTATTATCGTGATATTGCTGCTTTTATGACGTTTTAGATATGCACCCCTCACACCATATGGTTAAGTACCTGCTTGGGTAACTTCTAGGCGATTTCAGGACAAATCTTTGAAGTACCTAGCTACCTACCTACCCAGTGTTCTAAAATTGGATTTTGATTGGGTGTGCTGATGAAGAAGAAAAAAATCCTAGGATGAGAAAAGGTACCAAATACCTATGGTATTTTTGCAAAAGGGCATACCACCGTCATTTTTAACGCCAATTGATAAAGCAAGATTTCATGTCAGGATCTCGGCAGGATCTGAAAGAAAAGGATCTAGATGCATTAACTATCAAGTCACATGTATTATGTAACTGCTGTTCAAATGCAGGAAACATTTTTTTCAGTGATGAAATATTGCCACTTTTCCTGATTTTTTGGATGAAAATATTTTCCTCATCGGGCATGATTTTGCACCCAAAATTCTGAAAAATGCAACACTGTAACTACCTATTTCTTCATCGCGCAATTAGGTACTTGTCGGGAAAATGTTTGTCCCTGCAATTCTTTGTATCCATATTTTTCAGTTGGCACATTTCTTTGTTTCACAAATGGTACAATTGCAAACAGTGTATCAGTATGACTGTATGGGAGGCTCAGCAGGATCAGCAAGGGAGTAAGCACCTTTTGTTGCAGTTAATCATACCAAAAGTACAAATTTTGGCATTAGTAGAGCAGATGTCACGTGAAGGCCTTCCAACCAAAGATAGGCACTGTAGGTTTGTAGGTTAGGCCAGGTTAGGTTATGTTTATTTTCCGGTAAACGGGAGATCCCGAGTTTGGATTTTGGTGGTGCCTCCAGAACAGTGGGTGAAGGCGCCAACACCACCGGCGTTAAGGTTAGAAGGAAGCATCTCCGGGTATAGCGCCTCTCCTTAGCTGGAAAACCTTCGTGTGACGTCTGCTCCACTTGTACCAACCCAGTAGGTACATTTGGTTGTAAAAATTGCTGATTTTGCTTGGTGCTTGCTGGTGTGTATTTGTAGACTGGTTGATGTAGGAAGTCTGCTGGTGTGGATATGCTACTCTAGCTTGTTTGTCTTTTCAACTGTTTGTTTCCACCCTTTGCTTAGCATTGCTGAGCAGGGCCCTGTTTCACTGCATGCTGCTACCCACATTCAGGTTCAAATGGAAATGCTCACAAAATTCTGTCCAAATGGAAATGCTGGCAAAATTGTTTAGGTATTTCACTGACATTTCTAAATTCTTTTGAAAATGAGCACCAATGCCCAGCTGCGGTGAGTAGGTAATACTAACTACGGCTTGCCGTGAAGCAGGGCCATGCTGTCTGATTCATTTTCTGCTAATAGAACCAACTTTATTGCTTTGCTTTTTTCACAGGAGACAAGATGCAAAGCCCAATGAGCATTCAAGAGTGTGCTCTTGTCATTTTAGGAATGGCAAGAAAGAAGCTGGTCCAACCCTATTTGCTTGGAATGACTTCAAGAGAAGGTAATCTTGTTGTTGTAACTAGCCTCATACTTATCACTTGTAAACTAGAATAATTCAATAATGGTAATGCTAAGGTGAAGGTCAAAGTGAATGCCAATAACTTAATCCAAACAGCTTAACATTAAATGAGCTTCAAATGATTAAATTCCTCTCATGTTCATGCACATATTGTCTTAGGTTTGTCAGTTTGGTTATATTTACATTAAATGGTGTTTTTGTTAGGCTCGTGATTCATTGCTTTCTGTTCATTGGGTTGATTCATGATTGCAATAATTTGCTTGTCTTGCTAGCCCCCATAAGATACCTTCTGCATCATACCATGAAAAGAAATTGTGTTATACCATGTGTACTATATAAGTGCCTAAAACTTGCAATATTGTCTCCCATTTAGGGTGCCAGCTGATGAAGTGGGCGATGGCACAGGAGGGGCTGCAGCTGTGGCCGCTCCTTCTCCTGTGACTCTCCTGGAGCAGGCTCAGAGAAGAGCAAGTGAGCTAGAGGCTGCCCTGGCAAAGAAGTCTGCTGAGCTGGAACAGGTCAAGAGCCAACATTCAGCTGAAGAAGCCCAGATGCGTTCTGTTCTGACTGAGAACCAGGTTTGTCAGTTGTGGGTGGTCTGGCCTTTGGGGCTCTGCAATCTGCATCAAATGCATAGGTCTTGCTATAGGTCAACCGAAGGCCTCATTTTTTCATTTCTGCAATGCCATATGATGAACAACCAGGCCATTTTTGTCTGGTAATAGAGTAAGCATTATAATATTATTGCAAGCTAGAAACTGTGATGCATGTCATGTCACTGCAATGTCTTGCTTGATGCACATTGTAGGTTATTTAGGTATTTGTGCTGAAATATTCCTTTTGTAGATATGATCGTTACTTGTGTTCCTAGTTCTGACCTCAATGTGAACAACTGACGAATAGTGCTGAATGTTCTACCCTTGTCATCGTGCTGAGTTCATTACCCATGATTTGGACAATGGATGAACACTCCCTTTTCCCCAACACTAGCGCCGGCGACCAAGCCGGCCGCCCTGGTGGCGGAGCGCAAAACATCGGTGGTCAGGGCACCGGCGGCCGCCGCAGTATGGCGCGTGCTAAAAACGCGGTAGCGGAGAGCAAAATTAGCGAGTTATAGCTCGGGAGACACCATTTGAGACACTTCAAATATATTTCTAGTCCTTTCTCATAGTCGGTGGGTATCCATTTTGTCACTATGACAAACGGAACCATTGCCCGGTGTCCATAAACTGGGTCAACATTCCTGACTCGCCGATGCAAATTGTCGCCAAATATCATCGTTCCTCAGCAATCACATAAGTCCTGGTTGATGAATTAACATTAATATCAACTTATTTTTGTGTTATCGCATAAAAATTCACTGAATTCCTAACATTGGCTCACCGTCTGTTATCACGAACTTTCACTTGGCAGCAGGATTTAAGCAATTTCTGGAATTAAAACTGTGAAAAAGTATTTCCAAGAGATTCCTCACTTCCTATTATACCAGAATCACAGGACTTTTCATCAAGATCAGTCACAAATAAGCAATAAATTGCAAAAATATACAAGAAGACGCGCTCCGCCCATAGCCCGCAATGTTAAAATGGCGCCGGCGCCCTGGCCGTCGTTAAATTGGGTGGTCGGAAAATCGGTGGAGTGTCCTATCCAGGAATACCTAATCCATGAATTGGATGTGAGATGATGGGAATGCATAGTGCATGCATACTGCATAGGTAGTACATAGCACACATGCAGCAAAAAAAGTTAGATAAGCTAGCATATATGCATATTAATTGATGTTAGATTAATTGGTTCTTCACCTAATATCTGTGGTTCTGCTTTTCCTTGCAGCTCACCATGCTGAAGACTGGGAGGCGACCCCATCGGTGGGACGATGAAAGTGTCATCAAAGCCATGGGAATCAGAACAAGTACCTCAAAAAGAGTCTACGAGTATCTACGTGAACAGCAGGGGTAAGCCTCACAAAAAGTTTCTAATTTCTACATGAAACATATGAGTGTAAAAGCAATGGCCACTTCAGATTTTTTAATGCCTACCAATTTGTCATAGAGGCATGTTTGCTGGTCTGCCGACTTCTTATGTAAGTTGTGTAGCCCTACAGGAGATAGTGGGTGGTGTAGGTACACCTCTTGGTTTTGCTCATACTCCAACATCTATTAATGAAAGACAGTGGCTATCATGTTTATTGATTGAAATATTGTTCACATGATGCAGTTGTACTTGTAAGAAGAGATGAAGTTGTGTATGCCACTGTTAAAGGACAAAATGTTAGTGCTGACTGTGTCGGCCTGCCGCGGCAGAACAGAATACACTTGACATTGTTTTGACACGCTCAAGGGGATGGACAACCCCACTTTATTACTCTCACGAGAAAAAAAGCAACAGCTTCTTTGAGATGAAACGGACCCTATTACCTAATTCACTAATTCACCTTAGGTCCATTCTGCCACGACTTGGATCGGATGGGTGTCGGGTGATGATGATGCGGTATAGGACGCGTAGCAGCTTGGCCTAAACGTCCAATACGGATCGGATGGGAAATTATTCAAAATATAATTGGCGATTCTGTGTATTTGAGCAAGTTATTATTTCGTTTCCAGATGGCCGCTTCCAAGCAAGATACCTATAAGAAACAGGTAGATCCGATGTTTGAAAGTAAACAAAAAGTAAAGCCCCAGTCACAAATTTGACGCACCTGTGACATTTCCTGACACCCACGTGACTATTGTATTAACTTTTGTGTTATGCGATGTTTTGACCTTATTTAAAGTACTGAAAGCTCAAAATGTATGATTAATGTTGTTTAAAGCAGCATATTAATAATTATGTTTGTAAATTATCGATAAGCTGCTTATAGCAGGTCACGTGATTGCTACCAGATTATGTGCTCAGAAAGCATCTTTTCAACTTCGATTTTGAACAATTTTTACCTCCTTTGAGGCCAAATGATGGACGGTTTGAGGCACACGATGAAATGCTGAATCTATTGATGCCAAAATTTGTTCGTTTTTTGCATTTTTAGACTAGTATATCCTGGCTCAAACTTTGACCAGTTTGTGTGTAAACCCTATGGTGAAGGGAAAACTTCACGCCCAGCAGACGTCTTTACAGTGCTGCCAAATCGTGTTTGGTGGGGGTCGCTTCCAAGCATCCGCAGCATCTCGAGCTGGGTATCGGGGCTGAGGATCGAGCCCTCGTCCATGGCCCAGTTTCTGCAGTTCCTGCAAGTGGCGGCCGCTGAGACAGCCCCGCTCGCCAAGAACTGCGCCATCCTCTTTGATGAGATGTCGGTAGACACGCGACTCTGTTACGACCAGCAGAGGGATGTGATCGTAGGCCCGCACAAGCAGGCCCAGGTGATCATGGTAAGTGACGAGAAGCGCAGCTGACGCCCACCAGGCCAGACGACGCGCGCTGTGGCATGGTGTGCGTGACGGCGGAGACTCCCGGCAATGGGTGCCCAATCACCAGTCCGGATGGGCGGGGGCCAGAGAGGGTACTAAGGGAAGCTGATGTTTAGACATTTATTGTGCCATTTGCCTAAGTCTTGAGCTGCACCTCTCATACCACGTTATTCGCCGAATGAACCGCTGGGTAATGTCGACGAACGAATGACATTCAAAACCTCTGTATTCTCTTCCATCCTGTCCTAGGTCCGATCCATCTGCGGTGCCTGGAAACAGCCCGTCTATGTCGCCTTCGACACCGCCATCAGCCCTGAGATCCTCATGCAGCTCATCCTTTCCCTCGAGGAGATGGGCTATCCTGTGCGAGCCGTGGTCTCTGACATGGGCTCCAAGAACGTCGGTCTGTGGCGGGCCTTGGGGGTCTCGTACGATGGCGAGACCAGCATAGCCAACCCTGCCGCCGCGGATCGGTGAGTCCTAAAAACAAAGTTGGCAAATAGGGAAAACACATAATAAAAAAGAATGGTAACCAGTACGCATCACCTAAGCACATCCAGCGATACAGCCCGACGGCTGTTAGGTCCACTGCGCCTTTGGTGCGAGTGGACACTGGACACCCTCCCCTGTGTCCGGTGATCACGTAATCGGATCAGTGTTGCGCCTGTGGCGCCGGGTCAGGCGTCGGCTCGAAATAGGTTCATGGACATGTAAAAAGTGTGTGCAATGTTGCTCGATATCAATGTATCGGTATATAGTGTGTTCTGGTCCTCATTCATCTTATTGTTCTACCTATTGTTCAGTTACCCTAATATCTACCTATAGCTGCTTGCCGCAGGTGAACTCTCACATGCCACTGTTTTTTTTTTTCGCTGGCAGGCGAGTGTGGTTCTTCGCCGATGTTCCGCACTGCCTGAAGAACTTGCGGAACCACATCCTGGATGACGGCCTGTACCTGGGGTGTGGTGGCGACCGAGGAGATCCGGTAGTGGACTCGGACCTGATGGAGGAGCTGGCGAGGGAAGTCTCTGCCACGGAGTTCACCGTGAATCGGAAACTGACCGCCCTGCACGTGCATGTAAGTTGCTGTTTTTTTTTGTCTGTTTATCAAAACTCAACAAGATGCTAGCACTTCCTGATACAGTATCAGGAAGTCAGGAAGGCGGCGAGCAGTAACTGCTCGCCGCCTCTCCATTGCTTCTGGAGAGGTAACCATATGGCCCATTGTGGGACGTGTCACTATATTATAGATGCCTGCAGATCAACCGTTTCCACTGATTTTCCTTCTCCCCGTGCTCAGTTATTTTCTTTTCACGAAAAATTTAGCGGGACTGGAGATGGGGGAACCTGCCCCTACCGATCTCTTGATGGCTGGATCCCAGCTAACGTACCTCGTCATGCTTCGATAATTCCAAGAGAATAAAAACAATTCCAAGAGAATAAATAAAAGTTCACAAGCCTATAACTTCTGGTATTTTGCTTGATTTCCGTTGTTGTGTAGTTAAAAGCATATCTTTTGCATTGAAAAAATGATATTTTCTCTAGGTAGTAAAGTTTCATAATATAGAATGCTGAGGTGGTAAGTTATCCTGCTTTGCCCTGAATCACCAGCACCAAGGCCTGGTGCATCTATAATCTTTCTGAGGCCGGAGTAAAGGGGGGGGGGTGGTATCTGATTTGTCTCTTAGTCGTTGTTTCTTATTGCTTTGTTATTTGCCCGAACATTATTAGTTGAAACTGTTAGGTTGCCTGTTTTCGTTTATCATTACAGTACCTAAAGGCAGGCATCGGTAAAATCCTTTTTGAAAGGATTGCATTCCCAATCCACATTCCTAGTGCCGAAGTGGATTGCATTCCTACCCGCAATCCCCTTTTTTCACTTGCATTGTGATCAAATCCGCAATCCTTTTTTGCAATCCTGTTGTATTATTATGTGCACTAGTGGATCTGGGGGAGGGAGGGGGGCATAGGGCCGTGCCTCCATCCCCAAATCACCCATTTCTAGTACCTAGTCTTGCGAGTAATTCCTATCTAAGGCACAGGTATTTTATGGGAAATATTTTTTGCCTCAAACACCCCCACATTTAAACCTCTACCCAACCAGTGTTTTATATTTTTAAAACTCGCCCTCAAGGATTGCAAAAGGATTGCAAATTTGGATTGCAAACATTGGAAGTATGATGCAATCCAATCCGCAATCAAATCCTGTTTTTTGGAATGGATTTCAAATCCAGGTGCAATCCACCAAAAAGGAATGCAATCAGGATTTTGCAATCCTGCAATCACAATCCTACCGATGCCTGCCTAAAGGATGTATTGTAATCACATTTCTTATTAACAGTTCCGTGTGCCCTGATTTTTTATCAATGATAAGGTTCACTTTATTGGTATCAATACGCCTCCTTATCTTTTCACATCTTCAAAAGAATGAGTTTTGCTTGCACACCTAGCGAATTATGACGCCTTGGTTTTTCGTACGCACTTTCAATATAGTTTCTAATCGAATGCTGTCTTTCAGGCAGCGAAAGGAGACCGCCAGCGAGTCTATCTCGCCGCCCAACTTCTCAGCGAGACCGTCGCCAAATCCATCCCGGAGGTCTTCGAAGGGCAAGAAAAGGCAGCGGAGGTCATCAACATCATCGACAGCGGCTTTGATGTCCTCAATTCCCGGCGGCGGTACGCTGACAAGCCGCTGCGGTGCGGCCTGGGCGTGCACCTGACTGAGCAGTTAGCAGCACTCCGCAAGCTGGAGGAGCTCCTGCTGACGGCGCGATTTGGCAGCAGGAAGACGCTTCTTCCATTTCAGCAGGGCTTCCTGCTGTCCATCCGCTCCACCCTGGCGCTCTACAAAGAGATGGAGAAGGTGGACGGGTTCCAGTTCCTGCAGACTGCACTGCTCAACCAAGACGCCCTGGAGTCGCTCTTCAGCTCTGTCAGGACCAAGTTCGGTTCAAACCTGAATCCGACTCCAACCGAGCTGCTGTACCGCCTCCGCCTGCTGCTGATCGGCGCGTCTCCGGCAGCAGCGCGACAGACGTCTGTCCGACCAGCCAGCCTGCCTGAAGAGGGCCTCCTCAGCGCTGCGCGTGCCGGCCGGCCTCCACAGTGCGGCACAGAGGACGAGTTTGTGGGGCCGATATTCAGTGGCTACGATGCCACCACCATCAGCAGCACTACCATCGCTCCCTCCGTCGACCAGCTCAGCGCGGCCACACCGCCGGAGCCCGCTGTTCCGGTCGAGCTGCTGGAGGAGATCGGCGTCCCTCCGAACGGAGCTGAGACCGAAACCAGCCAGGCCATCAGCGAATACGGGATGCAGTACGCTGCTGGCTTCGTGGCTGCTAAGCGTGCCAAAGTCGACCCCACCCTCGGCACTCGCACCTGCGACATGGCTGAAGAGGACGTCCCGTCGGGGGCCCGCTGGATATACCTCCTCAGTCGTGGACATCTGACCGTGCCATCCGAGCAGTGGCTGGAAAACTTCAAGGAGTTTGAAGTTGTCTTCTGCGCCATACACAGAGGGCAAGGAATGGCTCGGAGGAACGGCACACT